TTATTTATTTATTTATTTATTATTTAGATTTTTATCCCGCCCTCCCCGCAGGCTCAGGGCGGCTTACAGGGCATATCGCCGGTATAATACTACAATAAAAACATTAAAAATATTAAATAGTATCAAATATTAAGACATCATACAAACAAAACAGAATCTGGTGCTCACCTCCTAAGGCGGAGAGGGACTTCCTAGAACCCACCCTCCAAAGCAGCCATTTTCTCCAGGTGAACTGATTTCTGTTGCTTGGAGACCAGTTGCAAGAACGGGACATATCGAGGCCGGTGCTCCCTCTAAGCTGTGGCGTCCTGGGAGCAAACATTCTACTTTGTGAGCGACTCTGGCATAAATCAGTTTGCTCTGGAGCCCTCCTTCCTGAGCGAAGACAAAAATGTGTGAGCCGGAGGCTAAAGAATTGTGAGCCAGCTCACACTAACTTCGCTCAGAGGGAACACTGCTCCAGGCCCCAGCCACCGGCGGAGAGTCACAGGCAATGTTCCCTCTAAGCCGTGGAGTCTTGTGAGCAAAAATTCTACTCTCACACTAACTTCGCTCAGAGGGAACACTGCTCCAGGCCCCAGCCACCGGCGGAGAGTCACAGGTATGGCATCCAAGATGGCGTCCAGCCACTGTCCCCCCCACCCCGATTCAGAAGGCTCTCTAATTCTTTGGTGGGTTTTCCCCCCTCTCTCTCACCAGGTTGCTGTTTCACTGGTCAGCAAATTCAACGAATTCTCTCCCGATATCCTGACCTCCCTGGGACAGGCGGCTGCCGGGCTCTCGGAGCCCCAGATTGTGTTTGGGATCCGCAACGACGACCTCTTGGCTTCTCTGCCTTCCCTGAGCAAAGTTCGGGGCTGGAACGCACAGCAGGCGGAAGCCATTTTGAGCAAGCTGTTCCAATCTGGATACCAGGTGAAAAGAGCCTTCAGTTCTCCTCCTCCCCGTATGAACTACTTAGAAGGCAACAGGGGCAGACAGAGGGAGAAACAGAGACCTACCATCACCTGGGCAGTTTGTGGTTCAGCCCATAAAGGGTTCCCCGGGGCCAGAATTGCAGGAAGTGGCGCACACCCTGTGGACTCTGTCCCGGCTGCCGCACCCAAATCTTGCCCTCCGGCAGGAAATGTTACAAGAGTACCGACTGCGTTCGCCTGCAAAAAGAAAAATGAAACCCATGAATCCAAGAATCTGGAAGTATTCCTTTAAATCACTTCCTGTGTCAAGAACAGCAGTGGTGGAAAGCGTCACCAAGTCGTAGCCAACGTATGGCGACCCAATAGGGTTTTCAAAGCAGAAGAACCGAGGTGGCTTGCCATTGCCTGCCTCTGCATACTAGCTAGGGTTGCCAAGTCTTACCTTCGATGGAGCGGGGGGACTCACCCAGAAGTGACATCATCACGCCGGACACGTTGGGGACGGGGCCAGTGTCATTCGAGGGGAAACCATAGAGTTTTCCCTTGAATGACAGAGCGTCCCCCCTGAACATGCTCCCGCCACTTTGGGGGTGGGGTTCCCCCCGGCGGCTCAATCCGGGCTGGCGGGGAACCGACCCAACTTTTTGGACCTTTTTGGGCCTACTTCCAGTTTCAGGCCTACTTTGGGCCTACTTCCGGTTTCAGGCCTACTTCCAGTTGGGAGTCAAGCTCTGGTTTTTGGTTTGAAGCCTAAATTTACCATAGAGTTCTGCCCACACAAAAAAAAACCCCGTCACTCTCGACTGGACGTAGGCCCCAAACCGGAAGTAGGCCTGAAACTGGAAATAGGCCCGAAAATGCCCAACATCACTTCTGGTCTCCCAGAAGGATGCTGGGAGACCCCTGCTGGCCAGGTAAGTCGACCTGGCAACCCTAGAGTTTGGGCTACCCTAGATCATCCAGGTCACGGTGTCAAAAAATAGTAGCTGCCTGCAAAAAGAGGGCTTAGAGAAGCACTCGGGTTGACTTGATGTTACGGTTGCCAGCTCTGGGTTGGGAAATTCCTGGGGATTTGGGGGATGGAGCCTGGAGAGGGTGGGGTTTGGGGAGGGGAGGGGCCTAAGCAGGGTACAATGCCACAGAGTCCACAATTTAAAGCAGCCATTTTCTCCAGGGGAACTGATCTCTGTCCTCTGGAGATGCACTGTAATAGTGGGAGGTCTCCAGGCCCCACCTGGAGGCTGGCAACCTGACTTGACATACAACTGATACATTTCCTGTTTGCAGATTCAAGACGGAAGGAGTCTAGCAGCTCTTGGGAGCTTGCTGGCTGGCTTGGATCTTGACCAACTGCAAGAGATACCCCCCAGCGTGGTCTTGGATGCGCTCAAAGTCCCTGGATTCGCCACGCTACTGGAGAACCTGTCACCCTCTCAGAAAAAAGTGCTTGTGGATAAGGTGAGTCCTTGTGAGAGCTTAGAAACACAAATCCCCAGGGAAAGGGCTGTGACTCAGTGGGAAACCTCTGTTTTGTATACAGAAAGTCCCAGGTTCAATCTCCGGCATCTCCAGTGAAAAGGAACAGGCAGGAGGTGATGGGAAAGACCTCCGCCTGAGACCCTGGAGAGCTGTAAAGAGGGGCCGTGGCTCAGTGGAAGAGCCTCTGTTTGGCAGGCAGAAGGTCCCAGGTTCAATCCCCAGCATCTCCAGTTAAAAAGGACCAGGCACTGGGAGGGTGTGGCTTTTGGGACAGGACTGCAGAGCACCATACAGCCCACCTGCCCAAGCAGCCATTTGCTCCAGGAAAAGTGGAAGAAATCTTTTTAATCAATCAATAATAAATAGACTAGCTATCTATGTAGTCTGGAGGTAAGTTGTAATTCTGGGGGGAATTGGCAATTTACGAGAGATCATGGGAAAAGCCGTTAAGAACCACCACAATCGTGGTATAATTACTCAGTGTGACTTTGTATAATCAATTATGTCGTTTACCCATCCCATTCATACAAACATTAACATGCAAAGAGTATAACAGATAAATGTTTCAAATAAATGAAGCGCTCGCACCAACGTTCAGTTCTAATCATTTCTTTATCGGTTTCTTCTCATGTACGTTTAGTCCGAGCTGGACTGAACTTCGACACAAGTACTCTATATATTGAAAACATTTATCTGTTATAGTCTTGGCATGTAAATGTTTGTGTGAATGTGCTTGGTAAACAATAGAACTGATAATGCAATGTTACACGGAGTAATTATATCCCATCTGGAGGCTGGGGCTATTTTTGGGCAGGAACGCACAGGAACGGAGTTCCGGCTGGCTCCCAAGTTGGCCACGCCCAGCAGGAACTCATTAGCATAATAGGCCACACCCAACAGCAGAAACTCATTAGGATTGGCTACGTTAGGGGTGTGTGGCCTAACATGCAAAGGAGTTCCTGCTACAAAAAAAGGCCCTGGGTTTTGACAACAAACAAGGTCAACAGAATAAGAAGCAAAAGGTGGGTATGGCTGGATGACCACACTTCTGGTAACACGTGGGTGTGGCCTAATATGCTAATGAGCTGTGCTGTCGTGGGTGTGGCCTAATATGCTAATGCATTTCTGCTGTTGGGTGTGGCCTATTATGCTAATGAGTTCCTGCTGGGCTTTTTCTACAAAAAAAGCCCAATCCTATGAGCCTGGGTTGTTTCCTGTTCCATTCAAGACTCTTTGGATTTTTATCCTCAAGGAACAAGCAGGCTCTGGGAAACATATGGGTGGGCACCGTGTTTGGTACCACTAGGTTACAGAGTAGTGTCCAGGCCTGGGAAAGCCCAATTTAAAACCTACAGTCTTCCAGAGAGCTGACTGGGGTACTGTGGGCCGGTCATTCTCTTTCGGCCTAAGCACCGGTAAATACCTACCTCGCAGGGGTGTTGCAAAGAGAAACTAGGAGAATTAAGAGCTGTGAAATCCCCCCCCCCCGGAGTTCCTGGGAAGAAGGGAAGAATGGAAATGTAATACCTATCTGGACCCCCGTTTACTGCTTGTGGCCTGGAGGCCACAGGGCTAGAATCCTTTATATGCTCCTAGGCCCAGAGGGCGTCAACCTCAGTGGCCGATTAAGTTATTTGGAACAGAGAACCTTATGAAAAGGTTAAACTGCTTCCTCCTGTGGTGTCATACAAAGGTAACCGCAAAGGGAACGTCACCCGCTGGCCACAATTCCCCCAGCTCTTGCGATGCAAAAGATTATTTCCCAGCTACGGCAACTCCCTAAACAACGCTGAAGTTATTTTTATGCCGTGCCAGGGGTAAGGCTGAACTGACAGAAATTATGAACGGTGTTATGTACAGCTATGGATCAGCGAACACCAACTGCCATAATCTGGCAACATCTGCCAGCGTTCGGGAAAGAATACCGGCTCCACCTCTCAAACTTGTCGGGACGGTTCCCATGGCCCGAGAGAGAGGACGGAGCAGAGCCAATCTCCATTCTGGGGCACGCCAAACTCACTCCCCCACATACACCACCATTCCCATTGATATACAGACATGAAATTCTCACAGCTTTCAAATCGTTGACATGCATTCGCGCATGGGCTGGATTATGTGCGCATGCTCCCCCCTTGAAAGCCACATTGGTTTCTCAGGAGTCGAAGAAGAAGAAGAAGAGGATGAGATTGGATTTATACCCTGCCCTTCACTACCCAAAGGAGTCTCAGAGCGGCTCATGATCTCCTTTCCCTTCCCCTCCCCTCCCCACAACAGACACCCTGGGAGGTAGGTGGGGCTGAGAGAGCTCTGACAGAAACTGCTCTTTTTCAAGGACAGCTCTGACAGAACTGTGGCTTGCCCAAGGTCATCCAGCAGGTGCAAGTGGAGGAGTGGGGATTGCTTGAGTCAAGTGCAGGAGAACAGTGGGAGAAACACCATTGTCAATACATTATCCTTCCGCTTCTAGATTTTGTTTCACAGGTCCAGTTAGGGTCGCCAGGTCTGGGTTGAGACATACCTGGAGATTTGGGGGGTGAAGCCTTAGGAGGGCAGTGTTTGGGGAAGGGAGGGACTTTGACGGGGTATAATGCCATAGAGTCCACCTTCTGAAGCAGCCATTTCCTCCAGGTGAATTAACTGGAGATCGGTTGTCATCAGTGTTCCCTCTAAGCTGAGTTAATGTGAGCCAGCTCACAGTTTTTTAGCCTCCAGCTCACAGATTTTTTTGTCTCAGGCCAGGAAGGTTGGCTCCAGAGCAAACTGATTTCTGCAGGATCCAAATCGCTCGCTGACAAATTTAATGCCAGGGGCTCACAAGGTAGAATTTTTTTCTCACAAGACTCCACAGCTTAGAGGGAGCATTGCTTGTAATGGTGAGAAATCACGAGCTCCTCTGGAGAAAATGGTTGTGTTGGAGGACAGACTCGCCCCTACCCTCCATAAACCCCACCCTCCCTAGGCTCCACCCCCTAAACCTCCAGGAATCTCCTGACCTGGAGTTGGCACCCCTAGCTACCAGTCAAGATGGCCCTTTCTGGCTAGCTAGACTATGGGGAAGATCTGTGACTCACTGGCAGAAGATCCCAGGTTCAATCTCCGGCATCCCTTCTCCAAAGGATCAGGTGGGAGGTGATGGCAAAGACCTCCACCTGAGACCCGTGCTCCCTCTAAGCTGTGGAGTCCTGTGAGCAAAAATTCAACTTTGTGACCTACTGGCATTAAAGTTGGGAGCGAGCCATTTGGCTGCGGCATCAATCAGTTTACTTTGGAGCCCTCCTTCCTGAGCGAAGACCCAAAAAAAAATGTGCGAGCTGGAGGCTAAAAACATGTGAGCTGGACTGTGATTTAAACCTGCTTGAACCTTGCTACCTGATTTTCTCGGCTTGACCTCGGACTGTTCCTGGACTTTGGCTTACTTGCGTCACGCCCCCTGGTCCTGCCGTGACAGTTTACCTTGTTTGTTGTCAAAACCCAGGGCCTTTTTTTGTAGCAGGAACTCCTTTGCATGCTAGGCCACACACCCCTAATGTAGCCAATCCTACTGAGTTCCTGCTCTTGGGTGTGGCCTATTATGCTAATGAGTCCCTGCTGGGCGTGGCCAACTCGGGAGCCAGCCGGAACTCCGTTCCTGTGCGTTCCTGCCCAAAAATAGCCCTGTGCAGCCTTACACAGAGGAAGTCCCAGCATCTCCAGTTAGAAGGAGCTCAAGCAGGAGGCAACAGGAAACAACGTTCTCTGCCGGAGACCCCGGAAAGCCACCAGGAGAGCGGCCAAAAGGAAGGGTTTAACTCTGGATGAAGCGGCTCCCCGAATCTCCGTTCTGTCTTCCAGCTGATTGCCGCTACAGACGGATTCAAAGAGTTGGTGGAGCGTGTCCCCGTCGAGCTGGTTCCTTACGTCCCCAAATCCCTGCTGGTCCCTGTCGGCGAGTTCAGCATCCAAGATCTCAACGGCAAGCCGTGGACTCAAGAACAGGTGCGGGGAAAGACGTCCTACTCCCCTTCCTTCCTCCTCCTCCCCTCCAGAGAGGCAGCGGGGGGTCTCGCCAGGGTAGGACACAGCCGCGGGGTTTGCCACCGACTCGGTGAATCGTCAAAGCCCTTGTCGATTTGTCTCCACAGGCTGCCATGTTTTTCGACGATGTCATCGGGAGCGTCCATAATTTCAGCAGGTATGGCTGCTCTGTTCCCGCCCCCTCCCCCCTTGACTGAATTTTTGTTTGGCATTGGAAGAGGGAGGAATGCCCGATTAATCCATAGTCACAGATCCAGAGTTCACCATGTTAGTCTATTGCTGCAAAATAGTAAAAAGCCCAGGAGCACCTTGAAGACTAACAAACGCAGGGGTCATTTCCAATGTTCCCTCTAAGCTGAGTTAGTGTGAGCTAGCTCAGAGTTTTTTAGCCTCTAGCTCACACATTTTTGTCCTGGCTCAGGAAGGAGGGCTCCAGAGCAAACTAATTTATGCAGCAGCCAAATCGCTCGCTCACAACTTTAATGCCAGTAGCTCACAAAGGAGAATTTTTGCTCACAAGACTCCACAGCTTAGAGGGAGCATTGGTCATTTCCTGCAGGGGAGCACAGGAGCGGAGCTCCGGCAGTAAAGAGCCCAGGGGGTGGGCACATGCAACAAGCCCCACCCCCTGCTCCCAGCAGCCCTCAGTCAGAGCAAGAAGCAGCCTGGTCAGTTGCAGAGCCCCCCCTCCCCCCCGGGCCAAAACAGTCCAGTGGCACCTTTAAGACCAAGTTTTATTCAGGTACAAGCTCTCCCTCCTCTGCGAGGACAGATCTGCACGTCCCCCCCCCAATAGCTAGCAATCCAAAACAGTCCAGTGGAGCCTGAGCGGTGGGTGTTGCCTTCTGACACACTTCCGCTGATGTGAGGGGGTGTGGCATATGCAAATAAGTTATGCTAATGAGCTCTTGCACCTCTTTTTCTATGAAATGACATCTGAACAAACGTTATTGTGGCATAAGCTTTTGAGAAACACAGCTCTCTTCGTCAGACACGTCTGACGAAGAGAGCTGTTTCTCTCGAAAGCTTATGCCACAATAAAGTTTGTTAGTCCTAAAGGTGCTGCTAGATCAATCCATAGTAATGCAGAGATAAATCTGGAGAGGGGAAGATCGTCCCCTTGGTTTCCGAGTGCTGCGTTCTCACCTGGGCAGGGCTCTTTTTTTCGGAACGTGTTGGATTCCCTGAACCTTTTTGACAAAATTCTTTTTAAAATGTTTAAAAGTTCATGGGTTTTCCGTATACAGACTGAAAACTTCATTCCCCTCTTGAGAGTTCCGGCGCTTCTTTTTCCAAAAAATGCACCCTGCACCTGGGGATATCATACCCTTCCCTACCCTTACATAACTTGGGTTTTCTTTCCACTGAAAAGGATTCTTCTCTTCCTTGAAACTGGGAGCCCAACATTCAGTAGAAGGGTCTGGAACGTCTAGGGCCACGATTTCGAGCTCTAGGTTGGGAAGTTCCTGGAGCCCTGTCTCATGTGACCACCGGACAAGCATCTTTGATGGTGGGGGGGACAATCAGGCTCACCTTGTTGACTGTCCCCCTTTGCTTTTCAGCCTCTGCCCCTCCATCTTGCACGGCTTCACCTGTGCCACCGCCAGAAATTTGGACACCGAGAGACTCCGAGAACTCGCCAAGGCCATGAAAGAGAAGAAGGTCCAGCTGGGAAAACATCAGGTTGGTTGGTCTCCTCCAGGGCTCTTTTTGTAGAAAAAGCCCAGCAGGAACTCATTAGCATAATAGGCCACACCCAACAGCAGGAACTCATTAGCATATTAGGCCACACCCCTGACAGCACAGCTCATTCGCCTATTAGGCCACACCCCCATGTTACCAGAAGTGTGGTCATCCAACCACACCCACCTTTTGCTTCTTATTCTCTTTACCTTGTTTGCTGTCAAAACCCAGGGCTTTTTGTTTGGAGCAGGAACTCCTTTGCATGTTAGGCCACACCCCCTAATTGTGGCCAATCCTAATGAGTTTCTGCTGTTGGGTGTGACCTATTATGTTAATGAGTTCCTGCTGGGCGTGGCCAACTTGGGAGCCAGACGGAACTCCGTTCCTGTGCGTTCCTGCCCAAAAATAGCCCTGGTCCCTCCATAGAGGCTTTTTTCCAGAATCCAGACCCCGGGCACTTACAGACCTCTCCAGAATTTCATCCAGTCATGCCAGGCTTTGCTGGGATATCCTTTCAGGGGCAGAATATGTCCTGAACTATATGAAGCACTTAGAATGAAATGCCGGTCGCCACTTTGGGTTCAGGAAGCAATTTTTCTCCAGGCCAGTTTAGCCAGGGATCCTGGAGGGTGTTTGTCGTCTTCTGGGCATGGAGTGGGAACCACTGGGTGTGGGGGGTGGAGGTATATGTGAATTCCCTACCTTGTGCAGGGGGATGGACTAGATGACCCTGGAGGTCCCTTCCAACTCAGTGAGTCTATGATTCTAACAGCAGGCTCTCGTCCAGAGTACAGGTTGTGTGCATCAGAACAGATGCCGTGACACAGCCACAACTTTTCACGAAACCAGCACCACTGAATAATCAGGAGTGGGGATTGCCTCAGGGGGTTTCCCAGGGAGGAATGCCCCACTTTGAGGCATATCTTTCCAGAGCTGATCCTTCAAATCCACCCCTTCCACCCTAGTGAAAGGATCTATCTTGTGTTCATTTCCCACAGCTGCTCTGTCTAGCTGAAAGGTTGATGCTGCGTGGCATTCCCCATGATTTCAACGACTATCCAGAAGAACTGGTGCTGTTTGTAAGGTAAAAGAAGAGTGTTCCTCCTTCCCGTGGCATTTGCACATTGGGTTTTTTTTGTATGTGTGTGTGTGTGTGCGCTCGCGTGCCTGGAACTCATGGTGATTTCTGGCGACCCCTAGTGGGGCTTGGGTGTTTTCAGAGAGGTGACTTGTAATGCCTGTCCCTGCAGTGTTCCCTCTAAGATGAGTTAGTGTGAGCTAGCTCATAGTTTTTTAGCCTCCGGCTCACACATTTTTTGTCTCAGCTCTGGAAGGAGGGCTCCAGAGCAGACTAATCTATATAGCAGCCCAATCGCTTGCTTTAATGCTAGTAGCTCACCAAGTAGACTTTTTGCTCACAGTTTAGAGGGAGCATTGGCCGGCCCTGCTATTTGTCGGAGGTCTCCCGTCCGAGCAGTGTTCCCTCTAAGCTGAGTTAGGGTGAGCTAGCTCACAGTTTTTTAGCCTCCGGCTCACACATTTTTGTCTTAGCTCAGGAAGGAGGGCTCCAGAGCAAACTAATTTATGCAGTGGACAAATCACTCGCTCACAACTTTAATGCTAGTCGCTCACAAAGTAGAGTTTTTGCTCACAAGACTCCACAGCTTAGAGGGAGGCATTGCTTCCAAGTACTTGCCAGGGCCGGCCCTGCTTAGCTTCCGAGATCTGACAAGATCGGGCTTGCCTGGGCTATCCAAGTCAGGGTACATTTGCACGTTCTGAAGAGGAGATTTCTGTCACACCGATTTCCAATAAAGGACATGTGCCTTTTTAAAAAATAGAGAGAACAGCAAACATCAGAAGGTTGGGGGAGCTCTCTGGGAAAGACCCAGGGCCTCATTTGTCTTAACCAAGGCTCATGGCATGCTATGATCTGGTTTTTATTTGCTGGTTTAAGTCTTTGTCAGCCAGCCCTTCTGCTGGTGCAGTCCGGTTGGCGTGAGTCAAACAGCCGCATGCAGTGTCATTTCAACAGATCTGTACAAAACTCTACGTCAGGGTCCCCCCAACCATTTTGACAGCCAGTCTGGTGTAGTGGTTAAGCGCGCGGACTCTAATCTGGGAGAACCGGGTTTGATGCCCCACTCCTCCACATGCAGCCAGCTGGGTGTCCTTGGGTCATTCACTAGCTCTCTCAGAGTTGTTCTCTCAAGAGCAGTCCTCGAGAGAGAGCTCTCTCAGCCCTACCTACCTCACAGGGTGTCTGTTGTGGGGAGGGGAAGGGATAGGAGTTTGTAAGCCACTCTGAGACACCTTTGGGTAGTGAAGGGTGGGATATAAATCCAATCTCCTCCTCCTCCTCTTTCAGCCCCACCTAGCTCACAAGGTGTCTGTTGTGGGGAGGGGAAGGGAGAGGAGTTTGTAAGCCGCTCTGAGACTCCTTCAGGTAGTGAAGTGTGGAGTATAAATCCAATCTCCTCCTCCTCCTTTTCTTCTTCTGTCAGTCACAGTTCTCTCAGAGCTCTCTCAGCCCCACCTACCCCACAGGGTGTCTGTTGTGGGAAGGGGGAGGGAAAGGAGATTGTAAGCCGCTCTGAGACTCCTTTAGGTAGTGAAGGATTGGGGGTATAAATCCAATCTCCTCCTCCTCCTCCTCCTCCTCTTCTTCTGTCAGTCACAGTTCTCTCAGAGCTCTCTCAGCCCCACCTACCTCACAGGGTGTCTGTTGTGGGGAGGGGAAGGGAAAGGAGTTTGTAAGCCGCTCTGAGACTCCTTCAGTTAGTGAAGGGCAGGGTATAAATCCAATCTCCTCCTCCTCCTCCTCCTCCTCCTCTTTTTCTTCTCTTTGAGGCCATGGGGATATTTGGAATTTTGACGTGGCATGACAGGCACATCAACAAAATGGCTGCCAAAAAATGGCAGCCACAGGAGGTGGCGCCAGCCCCAAAATTATTGCCATAGCTTAACTTCAGCAACAAGGTGCAGATTCCTGTTGCTGTGGCAGCAGCTGCTGCCAAAGCAAAATTTCTTTTTAAATCTGCACAGCCAATCAAATCTCCAGTGGCCAATCAGAAGCCTTGTTGGGTGAAAGCCTTACTTGGCTCCGCCCACTTCCTAAAAACACTTGGAGGGCCCAGAAAAAGTGTCGGTGGGACATTGGGGACCCCTGTTCTAAGCAGTTCAAGGACTGTAGCAAACTAATGGGGAAAACCTTCAGCTGGTTTTGATCCCTCCATCTGCTGCCTGTTTCCTAGTGTAGCCGCAACTGTCAAGATTCTTGAACAAGAATCAGGGGGAGGGTTGTCTGGGTCTCTGCATGAGTCCTTGGGTGTTCTCTTGCCAATAGGCAAGAATTCAGACTTCCTTGAGCCAGTCCTAGTTTTAGTAGCAGCAGTTTTAGTGAATACCTCGGGAAGAAAATAGTTCCTAGCTTGGCTGGCAAATCTCCAGCACTCTGCTGGATCAGTGCTCTGGCCTGAGGGCAGACAGAGATGTATCTCTTGGCCGTCTAGAGTCATGGGTGCGAATTATGCATCGATATATAAAACCACAAGGTCTTTTTATCGTTTCCAGTCCTTCGGATTACGGCGCAATCGGAAGCTGCAAAGAGTATTTTGCCCGTGTTGGGAAAGCCAACGTAGACGTGCTGGAGAAAGGGTCGTCCCAACGTGAGCGGCTGCTGGCAGAAGCCTTGGATTGCCTGGTAGGTAAACAACGCTGGGTTCTTAGCTGGCGGAAGCAACGAGCACAGCTCTGCCAGTCTGCATTTCCACAGACGGGGCGGCATCTGGGTACCATGTCGATCTTTAGTGCCCGTTTGGCCCCAGACTCCCAAATGCAGCTCTGGCTGAGTCTCCCCCAAAGTGGGTTTCAGGATGAATAGTCTAGCCTCCATAAACAGAACCTCGTGTCAAAAATCCCAGTGACTGTACCGAAAATCAACAATACAGCCATTGAATTTGTTGCGCCCAGAAATCCAGAGGTCCCTTTGACTTTCATGCTCGCAACAGTTACATGTTCTTGGCGTGACAAGCGTTGCTGTTTTGTAACTTGCGTGCCCAACCATCAGACCTCACCACAACCCATAATGTCACTTTTCACACCAAGGAGACTTCTGAACACTACAGAGCCCATGATGCAGTGGGCTGTAGAACGGTCAAAAGGTGTGTACAAGACACGTACATATTGCAGTCAGGAGTTGGCTGGATTCCGACAGAGATTTCAAAGTTCTGGATGACGTGTGCCTTCTGCTTCTACTTTGATGGGATTCAGTTTGTCGGGGCGTGGGGTCAGAGAAGCACTTAGGAGAGGAACCCCCCCCCCCCGGCTTAGGTTTCCTAGATCCAGGTTGGGAAACTCCTGGAGATTTGGGGATGGAGCCTGGGGAGGAAAGGGACCTCATTGGGGTACCATGCCACAGAGTCCACCCTCCAAAGCAGCCATTTTCTCCTGGGGAACTGATCTCTGTAGTCTGGAGATGAGCTGTAATTTTGGGCGATCCCCAGGTCCCACCTGGAGGCTGGCAACCTACCCAGGCTCCTATCTGGTCCCTTATGCCCATAACCCCAGTTTGAAATGTATTCAGTGGTAACAATGATTATGTATCCCTCCCACTGGAGAAGGTACGGCTACGAAGTTAAACAAGTAGATTAATTAACTGATTCAATAGCGGATCAATACTGCAATCCCACGAACAGTGATAGCCTTCTAAGTCCATCGACATGAGTGGGATAGCTTAAACTGTGTTTAGAATCACACCGTTAGCTGATTAAACAGCAGAAGTCATTATTTATTGGAAAAGCTGAACGTTAAAAGGAGACATTTCTTTTGTGTCTGAGACTATTTTGCTTCAGGTATATTGACAGGGAATTGTAAGGAAAAGATTAAAGACGGCCCTAACACCGCTTTGGACTGATAAATTTAAAATTTATCTCGCGCTTTCTGTCACTGTCTAAAAACGGTCCTGAGGCTCAGCGATAACGCCGAATGGATCGCCACATCGATGCACCTGAGAAGCGGATGACTAAAGCAGTAAGCTGCAGAGCTCCCCCCTCCCCCCCGGTCCAAAACAGTCCAGTGGCACCTTTAAGACCAAGTTTTATTCAGGTACCAGCTCTCCCTCCTCTGTGAGGACAGCGGATGACTAAAGCACCAGGAAATTTTGTATTCCGTCGACAATTTCCCCCCCTCCCTATTTAATTGACACCCTTTTCAAACAATTCTTTAGAAAATCTCCGGGCCGCACGTGAGCCGGGGGAATGCCGAAAACGCGCGCGGGGCGTATGCCGAAATCCTGGGCCGTTTGGCCTGCGACCTCAGCGCCGAGTACTTTAAAACGTCGGGCCGGAATCTGCTGAAACAGTTGAGGGAGTGTCGGTCCTTCAGTCCCGATCAAGTCAAGGCCATCCAGGCTCTCCTCTGCAGCGGAAACACTCCTGTCGGGTAGGTTTGCCTGTCGGGCTTCGTCCTATCGGAGTCTGCCAAAGAAGGATTACGGGAAACATAAGAACATCAGAGAAGCCAATGTTGGATCAGGCCAATGGCCCCTCCAGTCCAACACTCTGTGTCACACAGTGGCCGAAAATACCAGGGACCATCAGGAGGTCCACCAGTGGGGCCAGGACACTCGAAGCCCTCCCACTGTTGCCCCCCCCCCCAAGCACCAAAAAGACAGAGCATCCCTTGCCCCAGACATAGGAACATAAGAGAAGCCCTGTTGGATCAGTGGCTCATCCAGTCCAGCACTCTGTGTCACACAGTGGCCGTAGCTGCTGGAGAGTCTCCCCAAAAGAACCCCCAAGTTTCAAAGAGATTGGACCAGGGGTCCAATTCTTTGGGCCCCCAAACTGGTTGGCCCCATCCCAATTGTTTTCTATGGTGGGAAAAAATTGCCAGTTTTCCCACTGTTTTTAGTGGGCTTTGCACCTGTCTATACAGTCAAATGTATATTTGAGGCATTACGTGGAATAAGAAGCAACCTTGAAGGGATCACTAAAGTGATAGCTAAATTATTGAGCCCAGCGGTACTCCCAAATGCAGCTGGCAAGGCAGCTGATGTTTTACACATAGGCACCACTCCAAAAGATGACAGCACAGGACAAAAGCTAACTTGTAAAGGGAAAGGCCTCACAGCCCCCCAGTTGGTGCTTTCTCCCTCTGCCGAACTTACAGGTCACTCTTCTGGGGCTTAGGGGCTTTTCCCCCCTGTTTGAGTTCTTCCTTTCCTTTGATTTCCTCCCAGGCCCCCGTCAGAGTGGACATCCAGCACCCTCGAAGAACTGAGCGGCTTGTTCCACGTCTTTGATCGCTGCATCCTGCAAAAAATCCCAGCGGTAAGTTTCCATCCACACTATTTATTTACTTACTTACTTACTTTCAATTTATATCCCGCCTTGCCAGTGTAAACTGGCAATCTACCCGATGAAGGGTCTGTAGCACGGGCCCAGGCAGGGATGCCAGCCTCCAGGTGGGACCTGGGGATCTCCCGGAATGCCCCCTCATCTCCAGACTACAGAGATCAGTTCCCCCTGCAGAAAGTGGATGTTTTGGAGGGTGGACTCTACGGCCTTTTACCCCACTGAGCTCCCTCTCCTCCCCAAGCCCCGAATCTTCAGGAATTGCCCAACATAGAACGGGCAACCCTAAATCTTCCTGATGGGGTTCTGCTTGGAGAAAAGAAATGCTTTTTTTGGGGGGGGGGGGTTCTTTATCAGATCCCAAGGAGAGCAAATCCAGATGTTGCCTTTTCGGGTTGCCAGTTCTCTTGGGTTACCAGCAGGGGGTGGGGGGCTGCCAGCTCCAGGTTGGGAAAATTCTGGAGTATGATAATGTGGTACCTAATCCAAATGCTGCAGTTGAAATCCCTGTAATCAGACAACTGGAGGGAAATCTTAGTGACAGCCATGGACGGCATTCTAGCAAGCCAATAGGTGGCCAAAGGGTAACTGGGAGGCCACCTAAAAATGGCTGTATAGTTCTAGATCCTGAGGATAATCTAAATAAGATAGAACATGAAGTCTGACAACTAAAGTTTTTGTCTTGGAATCTTGGGGGGTGGCGAAATAAGCTCCATGACCCTGATTTTTTAGATTTCCTGCAAGGTTACCATATAATTTTTCTTCATGAAACCTGGAGCCAGGACCTAGAACAGCTCTCTATTAAGGGTTATAGGACCTTACAAGTCCCCGCAGTTAAATCCCGCTCAAAAGGTCGGGGTTCTGGAGGTTTGGCAATTTTTATAACAGTAGATTTGGATGTCGAACTACAAGTATTGGAAAACAGTTGCCCAAGTAATGTTCAAACCATACTAATCAAACCCTTCAAAGCACCCGTTTTCTCCAGAGGAACTGATCTCTCTAGTCTGGAAAGGAGCTGGAATTTCAGGGGATCCCCAGGCCCTTCCTGGAGGATGGCATCCCTACTGTGACAGAACAGACCCGCTTTGACTCACAGACCCTGTTCTGCCAGCCCCCCTCCTTGGCCTGCGCCAATTTCTGGAGGGTGCTATTCCACTTCCTTCCACTAGGGTACTGCTGCCACCACTGACCTTTTGGGGTCTTCCTGCCTGGAGGGACAGACTCCTGACACACCTTCCCAAACTGAGGCCCGGCTTCTGGTCTCCTGCTACCCAGCGCCTGGTTACCACAGGGACCAAATTCCTCCTTGGTGTAGTGGTTAAGTGCGCGGACTCTAATCTGGGAGAACCGGGTTTGATTCCCCACTCTTCCACTTGCACCTGGCTGGATGACCTTGGCAAGCCATAGTTCTGATAAGAGCTGTCCTTGAAAAAGAGCAGTTTGTGTCAGAGCTCTCTCAGCCCCACCTGTCTCACAGGGTGTCTGTTGTGGGGAGGGGAAGGGAAAGGAGTTTGTAAGCTGCTCTGAGACACCTTTGGATGGTGAAGGGCGGGGTATAAATCCAATCTCTTCTTCTTCTTCTTCTTCTTCTTTGGGGGGCCCCTGGAGGATTGGCGACAGGTGCCTTGACTGCTTGCCTTTCCCGGGACTCCCCTCTTAAAGTAGCGTGGTCTAAGACTGTTGGGGAAACGATGTGGTCCGGAGACCAGCTTCAAAGAGTACAATATTTTTTAATTACATTTTTTAAATTAAAATATCAAACAAAAACAATATGATACATAAGATCAGCGTGATCATACAAATCCCATCTCAGTACTATAATTACAACAAAACTTACCTAAGAAACTACACAGCTACTCTTACATTTTCTAAAAGTCTTCTTTAAAAATATAGTCGGTCACGAAGGAAAGGATTGGATGACGTCATTTCCTTTCCTTGAAGAAACTGTAGGGCCCTTTCACACACACGAAATAATGCACTTTCAATCCGCTTTCAATGCACTTTGCAACTGGATTTTACCGTGTGAAGTGGCAAAATCCACTTGCAAACAAACTGTATTTAGCGTGTGTAAAAGCGCCCACAGTACGATTGGAAACCAGATCACTTGAAAGTTTCTATAATAAGCGTCTAAGTTCAAAGAGTCCAATATTTATTAAAAAGAGAGAAAAGGTTCCAAGCATAGTTTTTAGCACAGCACCAAGAGCGGCAACCAGAAGGACAAAGAAAGGCTTGTCATAACCAATGTTCCCTCTAAGCTGTGGAGTCTTGTGAGCAAAAATTCTACTTTCTGAGCTATTGGCATTAAAGTTGTGAGCAAGCAATTTGGCTACTGCATACATTAGTTTGCTCAGGAGCCATCCTTCCTGAACTAAGACAAAAATGTGTGAGCCGGAGGCTAAAAAACTGTGAGCTGGCTCACACTAACTCAGCTTAGAGGGAACACTGGTCATAACCGCGTCCCCTGTCCCCGTTTTGAAAAACACACTCTACGAGATGTCAAAACAGAGCAGGCGATTCCAAGCTTAGAAAGTTACAAAATGTCCTCAAGGTGTCTCATTGCCTCAGGCCTGTCCGCCTGTTCAAGATGGCCGCCGGCCTGCTGACCATAGCTCAGCCGTCTGCCCTCTTCCAAGGACCAGCATCAAGAGACCCTCTTTCCTGGGAGCCAGCACTTTTATTAAACCTCTGAATCCATACATTTTACATCACTCTCCCCAGACCTCTTGACCTGGTCTGCCCAGGTCACACAGGTGGACCCTGAGAGCCCTCCTGAAAGGCATTCTGGGAATTCTCCAGGAGTCCCCTGGAGATGCCTAACACCAAATCCCTCCGTTCCTTCATTCCTTCGCAAGCCAAGCCGTTTGCATAACTGTGGCTGGCCATTGGCCGAGCTTCCTGCCCTTCCAGAGGGCAGAGACGAAAAAATGACACTTTTGAAAGGAGGAGGCCGAAAGGCATTCTGTCACACCTGCCTTTGACCCAGGAGAGTGAGCCCTGTCCCGCCTTACAGGGTCGCACGAGACTTGTCACAGCTCCCGGCCTGGGTGACACGGTTTGATGTTCCTTTTCCAGAGCGTCTTGACGCCGCGGCTGAAGTGCCTCCTCCACAAATCACACCTGCCCAGAAAAGACTTGGCCGCCTTCATGAAGAACCTCTGGTCTCCCAGGCTCAAACGTTCCTCAGGTACGCCAAGGCCAAACTAGGCTCCATTCTGGCCCACCTGCGACTGGATCTTGGCAGCCTTTTCTATATGGAAAGGCCAGCTTTGTGGTGCCTGAAAACAGGGCCATGGTGTGGGGTGGGGAAGAGGGGACGCAACGCTTTCTCCCCTGCACTTCCGCTAAGCAATTGACCCACCCGCTCCACACTGCAAAGAGTCTCTTTTTCTTTCCAGCGTGAGAGGGGGGAGTTAAGAGAGCCAGTTCGGTGTAGTGGTAAAGAATGCATAATCTGGGAGAACCATGTTTGATTCCCCACTCCTCCCCATGCAGCCAGCTGGGTGACCTTGGGTCAGTCACAAGTTCTCTCAGAGCTGTTCTCTCAAGGGCAGTTCTCGAGAGAGCTCTCTCAGCCCCACCTACCTCAGAGGGTGCCTGTTGTGGGGAGGGGAAGGGAAGGAGATTGTAAGAGCCAGTCTGGTGTAGTGGTGAGGAGCACGGACTCTAATCAGGGAGAACCGGGTTTGATTCCCCTCTCCTCCACATGAAGCTGCTGGGGTGACCTTGGGTCAGTCACAAGTTCTTTCAGAGCTGTTCTCTCAAGGGCAGTTCTCGAGAGAGCTCTCTCAGCCCCATCTACCTCAGAGGGTGTCTGTTGTGGGGAGGGGAGGGGAAAGAGACTGTAAGACCCAGTTTGGTGTAGTGGTGAGGAGCACGGACTCTAATCAGGGAGAACCGGGTTTGATTCCCCACTCCTCCACATGCAGCTGCTGGTTTGACCTTAGGTCAGTCATAAGTTCTCTCGTAGCTGTTCTCTCATGGGCAGCTTTCAAGAGAGCTCTCTCAGCCCCACCTACCTCACAGGGTGCCTGTTGTGGGGAGGGGAAGGGAAAGGAGCTTGTAAGCTGCTCTGAGACTCCTTCGGGTAGTGAAGCGCTGGGTATAAAAACCAGTTCTTCTTCTTCTTCTTAATGTAGCCCCCCCCCTCCCCCTGATCTGTATCGGCGCCTCTGTCTGATATTTCCCCGGAAAGATCCATCCACGAATGTCCCAGCATCACATCTAGCGAGACCCAGTGCAGTGCAGCAGTTAAGAGTATCGGACTAGGACCATGTAAGCTTGGGCCAGCTGCATACCCTCCGCCTAAGCTACCTCGCAGGGTTGTTGTGCAGACGTAAGAGGATGTAACCTGCTTTGGGTCTGTATCAGAGAGGGAGGCGGGCTTTCTAAAGTAAAGAAATAAATGCACTCCCATCATAGGGATGCCACAGGCCTTTAGACAGGATTTTTAAATTCGGGGAGCCTTTAATGAAGTTGGGAGGGCACCTCGCACACACACCCCAAGAGGGCGGCACAAATAAAATTAAAAATTGGAAGTTGGGGGGGCCTGGGCTGGATGGGAAGTCAGGGAACCTTGGCAGTAAGTCGGGGGGGCAGGCCCCACGATGCCCCACTGAAACTATGGGCCTGGGATGCCAGCCCTCCAGGTGGGACCTGGGGATCCCCCGGAATTAGAGCTCGTCTCCAGACTACAGAGATCAGTTCTTCTGAAGAAAATGGATGTTTTGGAGGGTGGACTCTCTGGCCTTGTACCCCACTGGGGTCCCTGTCCTCCCCAGGCTCCATCCCCCAAACCTCCAGGAGTTTCCCAACCTGGATCTGGCAACCCTACCCCTCCCCCAATCTCCTGCCAATGGCCAAAGGGGACCTAGCAAGCCTACCTCCCAAGACGGTAGCTTTTAAACCCGTAGCTTTCCTCACAGATCCCATTCCAAATCGCTTAGAACAGTGACCCCGGCAAAACAAAGAGGAATCACGCAGTTTTGCATCATTCGAGGAACCTCTCTGGCTAATTAGGGTTGCCAGTTCCGGGTTGAGAAATACCTGGGGATTTGGGGGTGGAGCCTGAGGAAGGCGGGGTTTGTGGAGGGGAGGGGCTTCAGTGAGCGTAAAGCCAACCGTCCACTCAATATCGTCTCGTGGTTGTTTTCCTTTTGTTCTTTCTTTAATCCATTTGCATTCCAGGTCTCCGTAATGTCACAGACGCCACCTTCCAAAGCAGCTGTTTTCTCCAGGAGAACGGATCTCTGTCGCCAGGCAGTCAGTTGCGATCCCAGGAGATCTCCAGATAACCCCTTGGAGGCTGGCAACCCTATCCAGGTTGCAGCATTTCTTGGGACACAAGCGTAGATAAACCTCTTTCTGCCGAGCGTCCATTGCTCTGGCCTCGGGTTGCCAACCTTCAGGTGGGGTCTGGAGCTCTCCCGGAACAACTGATCTTCGGATGACAGAGATTAATTTCCCCTGGAGAAAAGGGCTGCTTTGGAGGGTGGACTCGGTAGCATTGCGCCCTGCTGTGAGATGCAGAGATTCTCTGGTGGCCGCTGACTCCTGCGCCTTGTCTCTACAGGGTCGGAATGCCCACCTGACAAAATCATCACAGACGAAATGGCTCAGGACGAGCTGTTACCGATCGACTATACTACCGCTGAGGAGCTGCGTTCCTGTCTGCCAGACGAGGTCTTCCTGAGGAATCTGGGCTACCTCTCTGAATTCGCTTTCGCAGATGAACAGCTGGCCATGATGAAGGACAAACTGGACAGGGTGGGGAAGAGTTTGATTTGCAGCGGTGGCGGGATGGTGGGGCGGCGGGAGAGACTGTGGGAATCAGGCCGGATTCCAGGCCGGAGTGCCCAGGATTCAGAGGGACAAACAGAACCGATAATTCATTTACTTACAGTCCCCCTTTCTCACCTGGGACACAAGGCGGATTACAAAGTCGACAGGAAGGGACTATTAAAAAAACAGTGGAACAGGACTGCAGCAGAGCAGAAACAGAATGGCAGCAGAGCCTGCGCAGTTACATGAGACGTTAAATGATGCACATATTACATAGTAGCAGGGGTCATTTCCTGAAGGAGCGCACAGGAGCGGAGCTCCGGCAGTAGAGAGCTCAGGGGGGCGGGCACATGCAACAAGCCCCACCCCCTGCTCCCAGCAGCCCTCAGTCAGAGCAAGAAGCAGCCAGGTAAATTGCAGAGCTCCCCCCGGCCCCCAGTCCAAAACAGTCCAGTGGCACCTTTAAGACCAAGTTTTATTCAGGTACAAGCTCTCTATCCTCTGCGAGGGCAGATCTGCACATTTCCCCCGCCCCCCAAAAAAGCTAGCAATCCAAAACAGTCCAGTGGAGCCTGAGTGGTGGGTGTTGCCTTCTAACACACTTCCGGTGATGTCAGGGTGTGTGGCATATGCAAATGAGTTATGCTAATGAGTTATGCTAATGAGCGCCTGCACCTCTTTTTCTATGAAATGACCCTTGCATCGTAGGATCCTACTTACAGGAAGCTATACAAAGTAATAAAGACCACAGCCTATATGAGGCCGCACTGAATGGAGTCCATTTTCCCAGGGTTGGATTCTGCCGGGGTCCCCAAACATTTCCAGGCCAAGGTGTTGGTGGGGACCCCTGGGTCTCTTCCACTAAGGGTTGCTCTTTCCTTTGTATCCATCATTTTGGGAAAGGGGTTTGTATGTGTGGTGCGGAATGCTGTGAATGACAATTTACAAACATTCCGTTTTAACTTTGATTTCCCATAGATTTATTCTGATGGATATCCAGATTCGGTACTCCGCAACCTTGGAAATTTCATGACTTTAATGACTCCAGAGGATATTAAAAAGTGGAAATTCAACTCAAGTGAAACGCTCGCTGCATTACTGGCCAATGAACCTTCGCCTGAGATTGTAAGGAAGGGCAGAGCATATCTTTGCTTCTTAAACTTTGAGGCCTTTGGGGGCATTCCCCCAATCTCCTTTTTCTTCTTCCCCAGGTCCCCCCCCCTTTTTTCCTGTTCTACACTTATTGTGCTCCCTCTCGTGTTCAATTTGATACTACATCGCTGCTTTTTTGTCCGGCATAAAAACCTGCAGTTTAAATCTGCAGGGAGATGTGCCGGACATAAAACAATGTAATATCGAATCGGCCACTAGGGGGAGCAAAACACGTGCAGAACAGGAAGCAACAAGAACACACAAGAGAGGAAAATGAGAAGGCGTAAAAAGCCCTTTCTGTAAAGAAATCTCCGGCTTCTGCACTTCCCCTCAACTATAGACAGAGAATCCTAATGGGCCCCAGAAAAATTGTCAAAACAACAAGAACACAGTACCTTTTTATTCGGTCCAACCAAAACATAAAACTGGACCAACTTCTGAGCGACTCAGAACTCTTTGTTCTCTCAGCCCGACCTACCTCACAGGGTGTCTGTTGTGGGGAGGGGAAGGGAAAGGAGTTTGTAAGGCGCTCTGAGACTCCTTTGGGTAGTGAAGGGCGGGGTGTATAAATCCAACCTTTTCTACTTCTTCTTCTGTTCTCACAACCTTGAGCTCTCCCGGTGATCTTCGAGAGCCAGTTTTGGAAATACCTCAATAAATGGCGGGAGGTGTCGTGGATTGTTCAACAGCCTACTTTGGCCAGCCCAAACCTGCCCTGTATAAAACGCCGATGCAAATTCAGCCTTTCGGCCACACCCCCTCTAGCTCCTCCCCCTCCCACGTTTTCCCGGCCAGCCGTGAAAAAGTCTCATAACGTTCCCAAAGGTGGTTCGGGCTTTGGCGGTTCTCCCAAAAGTCCCACGATGGATGATAAATTGACCCTCTCCACTAAGCTCTGAGTGAGCTCAGGACAAAGAAACAGTGGCTTTCTCCCTTTTTGAGTTATAAATACCAGCACTCAGTCGGAGGCTGCAGGTAGCCACAGCTGTCCAAAACAAAATCCAGAACAAAACACTATGTCATACTCCTTATAAAAAATTCGTTTAAATCAAAGCAATCGTCTCCGCGTTAGGGCACCAACCGGTATAGAAAGGTTGTGTGCTCCGCCCCCACCTAGTGGTGTCATTTGGTATTGCAACAGAGATATGATCCTGTTGAGTCCTGGATGGTTCACAGCTGCCTGTCTCACCCCTTCCCACCCCTAACTCAGGCAGGGGGACCCTTCCCGCACATAACCATGGTTAGTGGTAGGAGGGTCTTAAAGAGGAAGTGCAAAAGACAATACCCTATAGGGTTGCCAGCCTTCAGGATGAGTCTAGAGATCTCCCAGAATTACAACCGATGTCTCCAGACCGCAGAGATCCATTCCCCTGGAGAAAAGAGCACTTCCCTACCATCCCCAAACTCATGCCCTGTCCCCAAATCTCCCGAAATGTCCCAAACCGGAGTTGGCAACTTTAGATTTCATCCCAACATTCCGCTCCCCCTTCTTCCAATAGATGCTATCTCCCTGTTTATCTAGCACATGCGAATCCTCCAAGGAACTCAAGGCAGCAGACAGGGTTCCCCCTTCTGCATTCTGTTCTCACAACCTTGAGCTCTCCCGGTGATCTTCGAGAGCCAGTTTCGGATATACCTCAGTAAATTGCGGGAGGTGTCGTGGATTGTTCAACAGCCTACTTTGACCTTGGGCAAGCCATAGTTCTGGCACAGCTGTCCTTGGAAAAAGAGCAGTTTCTGTCAGAGTTCTCTCAGCCCCACCCACCTCACAGGGTGTCTGTTGTGGGGAGGAGAAGGGAATGGAGATTGTAAGCCGCTCTGAGACTCCTTTGGGTAGTGAAGGGCGGGGTGTATGAATCCAATCTCTTCTTCTGTTCTCACAACCTTGAGCTCTCCCGGTGATCTTCGAGAGCCAGTTTCGGAAATACCTCAATAAATGGCGGGAGGTGTCGTGGATTGTTCAACAGCCTACTTTGGCCAACCCAAACCTGCCCTGTATAAAACGGCGATGCAAATTCAGCCTTTCGGACACCCCCCACACACCCCCTCTAGCTCCTCCCCCTCCCACGTTTTCCCGGCCAGCCGTGAAAAAGTCTCATAACCTTCCCAAAGGTGGTTCGGGCTTTGGCGGTTCTCCCAAAAGTCCCACGACAGATGAGAAGTTGACCCTCTCCACTAAGCTCTGAGTCAGCTCATCCCCTGGGAAGACCCGGTCTCCTCTGTGTGCCGCACGCGGAACTGTCTCCCTCGGGGCTTACAGGCTGATGTTTCCAGACTTTGAAATGATTTCTTTCAGGCCGCCGCAATAATTCGTCAGTATATAGATAATGGGGGCCCAGTGGATGGCATCCTTGGACGTTTCGTGCCTTTAATGACTCCAGAGGATATTAAAAAGTGGAGATTCAACTCAACTGAAACGCTCGCTGCACTACTGGCCAATGACACCTCGCCTGAGTTGGTAAGGAAGGGCAGAGCGTATCTTTGCTTCTTAAACTTTGAGGCCTTTGGGGGCATTCCCCCAACACCCTTTTTCTTCTTCCCCATTCCCCCCCTTTCCCCCCCCTGTTCTGCACTTATTGTGCTCCCT